TTTCTGTTCTGAGCATATTTTCTTCACTTTTTCTTTGTTGTGGCACCCAACCAAATAATGGCCTTATGGATGGTTGTAATAGAGTCTGAATTACTATAGGCGGTGTGAACAAATGAACTTTTAGCCAGCCCTACAAGACTCTTATCCTATAACAGTGATGGCGAACTTTTTTGTAAAGGCGTGCCAAATTGTGTGGGTGCTATCACGCATGCGTACCCACACCTGCAATCCAATGTGCCCCTCACATCTGTGCAAATGCATACAACCCCTGCACATGCGTGCACAATCCCCCCTCCCCCCGCACACACACGGGTGGGTGGAGTTTTTGCTTTCCCCAGGCTCCAGAGGCTTTCCTGAAAATCAGTTGGCCGGCACGCACATGCACGCTAGAGCGGATGGCTCGCATGCCGGCAAATTTAGCTCTGCATGCCACCTATGGCACGCATATCATAGGTTCACCATCACACTCCTATAAGCAGCAGTATAATTTGACTGCATTGATCAAGACTGTCTTCTACTTCTTCACTACTATTGCTCTTGACTTTGTTTTCTCATCCAAAATCAATATGATATGCTTCAGGATAAACATTTTTCATTAGATGATTTCCTTTGTGTGAAATTGTAAATTTAAAAAAATCATTTCTCAGTTTTTTTATAAAAATAGTTTTTTGTAATTTTTTGGGAGGGAAATGACTTGCACGGACATTAAAACAGATAAATGATAAATTAATATTTTGATAAATGAGCATTTAAGTACAATAGACCAGCTTGATGCTGTGATTAAAATGCTGGACTAGAATCAGGGAGATCCAGTATGAAGTTCCTCCTTAGCCATGGAAAGTCACTGAATGACTGTATTATGTATTCGTAAGTTAATGAATATGTATGAGCCATGCAAATGGCCTCACTGTTCTGGTACTTCAGCACCTTTGTGCTGGCCAGCAACAGCCTCCTCCGTCTGGATTGGATAGGACGCGAGGGAGGCTGTTGCCGGCTGGAAGTCTGGTGCTGATTGGTTGAAGCCCGAGTATATAAGGTTTGGCGGGCTATTGCTTCATAAAAGCAATAACAGGTCTGGAATATGTGCATG